CCCCAAAACCCCAAAACCCCACAAGTGAAATACTTCAAAGCATAATGATTAATGAATTTATCGCAACCTAGAATAAAATTAATAAAAAAGTATATAAAATTGCTAATAAAAATGAGTCGAAAATTACCAGTTATTATACAGAATGAAAAAAAGCCCTTTGACTCTTAGAGTGATGAAAACCTCTCGATTGTTCGTAGAATTTTAAAAGCTAAGCCCTGAGTAGATGCTTCACTTCCTAAATCCTTTGGAACTTCTCCTCTACATTCATACTCAAAGAGGTTTCAAAATGAAGAAGGTAATGAAAAGAGTCTAAGGTGATTTACATCTAACTCACCAGAAATATATATCAATAATATTTATAGATAGAATTACAGTCATAGAAAGAGAAAACTAAAAGCTCTATGAAAAAATTTAGGTGATTAATTAGCGTTAAGACCTAGGGACTACATAGTGTAAATTATAATCTTTAACATAGACTTATTTATAATAGTGAATAGTACATCCAGGTACTTCCATAAAAAAGCAAAGTCTGTCTAAAAATCTAAGAAGTTTGGAGACTTTCATATTAAAAACTTTAACTAACCGATTCTGAGACAGAATTAGGAACGTATATCTGTAGAAAATTAAGTACTATTATGATAGATATAACTTCTAACTTATAGGCAATATTTTAGAGACTTTACAGTAAAAAGTCATCAATAGATTTTCTAAAGATGGAAAAAGAGCATAATAACAGATCCTCCATTGTCTAAAAGATATCTAGATTTCCAAAACTTAACTTTGGCTAAGTACCTGGCAACTAATCCTCATAAAGCAGATTTAGATCAACTAATAATTCATTCTCAAAAACTTCATAAAAATTTGCACTAAGCAATTAAACTACACCTCTTGATAAGCATCTGTTTGATGCCTTGGAATAAGATTCCTTTGACACTGATGCCTCTTCAATATAAAGACCTAATCATAAGGTCAATAGAACGATTACAACAAATAAAAATCCAAATCCTTACAACGACTTCAGTGATAATATAATGTTTCAATTCTTGCTAAGTAGATCTTAGATCAAAAGGAAGAAACAGACTTTGGAGTTATGAAATTACTATAATATATTTCGACAAAATTTCATCGAAGTTTAAATAACTTCTAAAACCTTAAATTTATGCAATGAGGGGTTTTGGGGTTTTGGGGTTTTGGGG